GTTGTGTGTGTGTGTGGTTTAGCAAGATAACTCGAGAAGCAGTGGATGGATTGGAATGAAACTTGGTAGGTGGGTAGGACTTCATGAGACCTAGAAATGATTAGATTTTGGGCCCCCTGGCGGCTTTCCTAGGTACTGCAGCTGAACTTCCGGTTTTGATATCTCATGTTCTGGACATGCTAGGGTCACAAATTTTGGTTGGTAGATAGCTCTTGGGGTAGGGAAGAAGTGACATGAGTTTGGGTTCCCTAGCGCCTTGTTCTGGAACTGCAGGAGCATTTGTTGAAAAAAATTTGAAGGAAGATAACTCGAGAACCGGTTGACGTATTGTCGTGATTTTTGGTATGTAGGTAGTTGAAGTGATGCTTGACATAATCAGATGGCAATTATGCAAATCAGGAGCTAATTTGCATAATTAATGAGGAAATTCCATAAATCTGATTTGTTCAATAATAGAACTATTAAACAGTTGTGACATCTACTTGAGAACGAGAAAAACATCTGAGGATATAGATTATGTAAATGAGGAGCTAATTTGCATAATTAATGGCAAATTCTTATAATTCCATAGTTGTAACTGCTGCACCCCGAATTTCATACTTGCCACATTTGGAAGTTAAGTGAAGGTGAACATTAATAAACATAATTTATTCAAACCATGACCTCATTTGCATAATTTATGAGGAAGTGCTATAATAGCCTTTTTGTTATGATAAGGCTGTCATTGGGTGGAGAATATGATCAACTGATATAATCCATGCAAATGAGGCTCTTTTTTACAAAATCAATGATTAAAATTGTAGAATTCGTCACCTGCAAGGGTTAACATCTTTTGGCGAAGGTATGAGATCGTGGAACTCTTGTCATTATTCTGATAAGCAACAGCTGGCTTAATGCAGCTGAGACAGGCGTATATATGATGGGGAGGGGAGGGCACTTTGACCGTCATATATGGATATGGTTCAATAATTTTGTTGTTTACAATATCAAATATTGCATTACCAAATCTCTATATTATCTTCTTCGTGTCAAAGTTTAAGCTTGAAACAATTTGGTATTTTAGAAATAAATATATCTATATATATACTAGTATATAACGTTACACTATATACAATATATGTAGTTACGTTGTTTGGTGGCAACCTTCGACTTAGTTACGAAATTGTGCGTCTATTTTAGTCGAGAGTCGCGCGTGTTTTTCTGTGAATGCGGAGACGGACAGACGGGGTGTTCTGATCCCGGGAAGTCTGGATAGAACCCCGGCCAGACTCCGCCAGTTGTGCCCCGTCCATCACAGGGGAAAGGCCCGGGCCCAGCATGGAACAGTCGGCACTTCTGTGTTGAACAATAACAATTTATAGATCTAGTGCTCGCCCTTTCGTCTTGCACTGATCTATTCGTTTTGACCGGCCCTTAACCAAGTCGATCTCTACATATAGATATCGAACATGACCAAAAGACGAGAAGAAGCCGAATTTATATATATATAGGCCATGCATTGCTAGAGTATAGTTTCATCACTCATGTTTTAGACTAGTATTGTTGTCAATGTATGTGCGTTACTATTACTCATGTAGTTATATGCCTGTACCTAGCATAAATATTATGGGTGTACAATAAAGGCTACTAGTATCCGTTACTATTAAAACTATAAAGAGATGACATGAGATTGGCCCAATATCGACATTGAACATTCGTCCTCCACCGTAAAGAAGGCTACCTCGGCAGCTGATCATACTTCAGTTCAAACTGTGAGGGCGACGATGAAACCGCTTTGCACGGAATGATAACATAAACCATTTTGCATGCCGAAAAAAGTCGTAAAACAAGTAAAAGTCAAAATGTCTTCCTGACCATTGTACTCATATAATGTCTGACGGCAGATATGATTCCCAGTAGACCAATAACTGAGCAATGTTCTTCAGATTCCTCCCCTGATTATACCTCACTATTGTTACAGTCACGTTCTATATATGCCTTTGATCATGAACTGGAATTTTTAAATTCACTCACCAGACTTCTAAAATCCATATAACAATATAACCTCATGTATATTACCTTTTTTTTTATAACATCCGCCATTACTTCTGACATACAGACGTGTCTACTGTGACTGGTATCGGATATCTAGATGCCCACATGTACACACCTTCCCCATGGGATTCACATTGGCAAGTCTTTCTCATGGTCCTAGCAATTTCGGGAAGAGTCAGTGACCTACTGATTGTACATTGGGCGACTGTGCGATAAATTAACGGAGATCAATCATATATCGACTGGCACGAGGAAGGGAGGGGCTTTTCAACGACATGACACAACATGATCTCCCTTTTACAGATATTACTGTACGCCCTTATATGCAGGAGTTTGCGTGAAAGTCTCTACCTCACAGACTTTTACTTGTGTCACTGAAGTACTAAGTACCACTATACGATTGTGCGAAGCAATATTCAGTACGCGTTTCCTTATAATAATGGACCAGTGTTTGTGGATAGCAGTGTTTATTACCCCTTTATCCGGTAGTTGTATATTACAAATTTATGATATGATGCTGGTAAGAGTTATGATCTTTTTATATGATATGATATTCGGCCTATCCTCGCCCGACAATTGATAGGCCTGTAGAGTGCAGACCATGGTACCCTGCAATATTCCCCGCTCGTGCTGCAGCCACCCAACAGATGTTTATTATTAGTCCATTGGCAGGTTATGGCATTGTACTTCAACTTGGCCTCAAGCCATCCTCAACCCCTGAGCAGAACTCTGACAGGAATACTTAGCTCAGGCACCAATCTTAGGCATTTTTTGGATATCACCCTAGACAAATTACTCTCTAATATGCGAAACAAAAACAAAGGACGAAAACGTATATTAGTATATATAGTATTGAATGTCAGAGTTATCACTTTGAACTAGAACTTGCAACCTTTCCGGGCTCCTATGTTCCAGTCTAGAAAAGTAATAAAATGAGCAGTCAGTAGTTATGATGAGTGATTAATAATTTAAGACATCTCAACCGTGTGATAGACTAATTGCCATAGATAGACGATGAGTTGCTAATTACAATTCCAGACATGTACACATGTTAATGATGTATCTAGATAAGTCCGATACCTCAGTGTTGCCTACACTGCAGTCGGCGAGATGTTTTCCATGTGATGCACGCGCACGTGTCAGTCTCAAGATTGGACTGGTCTAATCTAGTCTAGTCCAGACTGTCTCTCATGCTCTTTTGTCCAGGGAGTGATTTATCCTTAGTCTAAACCAAAGGGAAACGCCCACCACTTGAAACCACCTAGAACTAGCCACCGATGACTCAGACCCCAAAACGAGCGGGAAACCTCTGACAGATAGATAGACTTATAATTGGCAGACACGCCTTTTCAAACGAAGGGATGGACCACTGCTAGACAGGGGATGGTCGGTCGATTCCAGCAGGGTCGAAGAAGTGCACTAACCATGTGTCGTAATTTGTAGTTAGTCCAAAACATTCCTTTGAGTGCGAACACTTGACACCGTACCATATTTTACACAATGTTCACGACATGAAGAGAGTTATTGCTTCCATACATGTCACCCCTCCCCAGTTGAAAGAGATACCCCCAGCTCTGTCTGCCTCATTGATTGGTCCTACTGTGACCTTGTCTCAAGTACCGCAGCACATGTTAGAAACCCGCGTGTGCAGCCATAGGAGTACAAACCTGTGCCCTGCACTGGTAAATCTTTAATGACGGGAGAACACAGCTTATGTTTCCAACTTTCTCTAATTCCAGACAGACTGTGACCTACAGAACCCCGTAAGGGAACAGTGCAACAGACCCAAGATGGCGGAGGAAGCGCCAGGATTCCGCCAACCGATCAAGAGCATTGCGGTCATCAAGGGGAAGCCAGCCAAGTTTGAAGCCATAGTGACAGGTATAGTGAGGCAGTTGACCTACCTTTTACCTTATTTGGGTGGCATGCGCACTGCGGCGTTTTGCAGCCATAACGCTGTCCTTATATAAATGTCATATCTGATGTTTGTGTCGTCCAAAACTTTTATGGTGTCGTGGAAAGGGATTGGGTTGTGGTGTGTGAATTGACTAATGATTATTGTATATTAAAGTAACTATAACATATTATCAGGTTTTGTTCCTTCCATAATTTGGGTATTAATATTTATGACAGACATATAAAGAGTAGGTTTTTGCTCCCGGAGTGTAATTTGGATATCCGAATGACATAGACTGTTGTTGGCAACACTGCTACTTGAGTGAACATCATAGGCACAGACTTGTCTTTGTAGCAATAATCAATTTAACACGGGAGGGTGTGGACCATGGTACCAGGGATGGTTCGTGGAGGGCTAATTAATCTCTCGTGAAATACACACCGGGACGCTTATGTGAGGCGGGCGGGCCAGAGCTCTTGCGGCCCCGACCACGAATCAGACTGGATACCAGGCTAGGGATCACAGTGTGTAGTCTGTAATCACAGTCTGTGGTCTGTAATATAGGAATTGCATCACTACTAGGTCGAGATCTTATAGGCTTCATTTTGCCTAAAATGAGACGAACCTGAAAAGTTATATCTGTCTAGATAGGATGTTTCATCAGTTATAAACCTGGCAGCCACATGTAGTAGGATGGTCCGATTTATTTTCGTACTGGCAGCTCAGCTTCATGAGTCACACATGTCTAAGGTTAGGTTGAAGTCACAGCACATATAGCCATGTTTGTCTGTGTATGTGGGTAGAACGGGGCAGTACTAGTACTAGTTTTTTGTCCCTGAATTGTTTGCATGTCAGAGGGTGTCAAACAGAGACACTTGTGGCCACAAGGTTGAGATGCTCTCAGACCATCTGTGGGGACAAATCAGTAACTCTCACATTGGGATTGTGTGTAGAACGTAGAGGGAAAATACGAATCCTCCCCTGTTACCATCCCTACTTTCGCTTCTTCTGAAATTGATACAAGCGCCGTGTTTTGAGATGCTATCCATGATTTAGTTATGAATGAGTTATGAATGGTCCCTTAAAAACTGGCGCTGGGTTGGGTCAGCATGGGTTAAGTGTTTGCAGTACCGGCTTATTGGGCGGGGTGCTGCCATGACAACACACGTCCCACGCGTCAGGCAGGGCAAATTCTCTACATCACCGAGACGGGATGGGTCCCTGGCGTCCTACCACTGTTCCTGACGTTTCCGCGTTACCATAGTAACTATTACGTCATATACGAACTTCTGCTGGTCAACAGGAAGGACCTTTACTTCCGACAATAAAACGTCCGGAAATGCCTGCATTTGAGTTTGACTTTTGGGAGGTCTCTGGGACTATGGGCCTGAAAAGTAAATGCAGTTGCTTGTTTCCTTCAAAACCAAACTGACAGGGAACTGTCAAAGAATGTACCTTACATTTTGACCAGTGCAAAATGTGATCTTTGGCGCGTCAGTGAATATGTCGTCATTGATAAAAGGACGATGTCTTCATAATTTCGTCTACTGCATAAACCATGGGGCTGTAGGTTGAATAGGTACATGGTGTCAAATGAAGATTTTGTTGTAACGTCAGCTGCCATGACCCTTGACACGACCTGGATATAAATAGATTATCTGACAGAACCTTGAAACAACACCAATACGGAAATGAGACCCAAGTCCAGCTGCAACACCAAACGTTGCTATTGTTTACTTTTAGATTATTTGTTTACAAACATGTTAAAACACCAGCTGTTTGGTATCATTTTCCGAATATGGCTATGGATGTAGAAGACTCCATTGGCATTACACGGCCTTGAGGTCTATGGGCATTAGATGAAGTAAAGGTCAATGACTTCCGGGTGCGAACATGTATGGTCAAACTGTGAAGACATACCATGCGCTGCCCCCTCCACTTGTGGTGTCCGTGTTACGCCATTAAAATACCCGAAGGCCTTCGCGTCTCCTGCTGATGACATTCTAGACCGCGGTATGTAACCCCGGGATGGGAGGAAGGATACCGACCTGCACTGTGCACCGATTAGTGTGAATCTCAGAAGGGGCAAGGGTGTTCAGAAGGGATAAAGGGTGTTGAGACAGGATAAAATGTGTTTTCCTTGAATCGTGCAGGTTGGTCACACAGAATATGCCCAGACACATACTGCAACCATATGTAATTTGTACTATGCAGGTGTCTGACCTTGTGTACTGGTCAACAGGTCAACTGTCACACTGACGAAGATACGAAATATTCGATTCAAGTATATCGTAAATCCCGACCAGTGCCGTACGTGGTTGCAACTATGTTAAACGTAGATGTTACCACGTGCTGCACTGGGATTTTGAAAAATGGCATAGGAGAATCACAACTCAATGGGGATCCTAGCGACCGTCTTCATATTTGCAGAGGACTGTCACTGCAAGAGCTGAATCATCTGATATTTTAACAACCAAGTTCAAATAAGGACGAGGTCTTTTTCACAAGTAGAATCTTTCAGTTGTGAACTGCTTAATGACCAAGATGTGTGCTAGATGTTAAACTATGTTACAGAAATAAATATCGATCTACATAGAACAGGTATTTGAACAATCATTGACAATGTCGACTCTGACTTGCAGGTACCCCTGAACCAGAAGTGTCATGGTACGTAAACGGAAAGGAGGTGGCTTCCACAGACAATACTAAAATCTCGCGAGAAGAAGGCGGGCGCGTGAGTCTCGTGCTGACGTCAGTGACCGATGATGGCGGGAACATCGCATGCACCGCAAGGAACTCTGGGGGCACGGCCTCCAGCACTGCCAAGCTCGTTGTTAGAGGTACACTTTGTTTTGAAACTTCTAATACATCCTAGAAATGTCATTGACATTGAAACATACAAGGCCTTGTATTCTTGAGGAAGCACTTACTTTCTTGTGGTGTGTACTACATGTACAGATGTCCGAGTATTGGGGGGAGGGGGTGGTTGTCTTTGTGATGTCTTTTTCTGGCAACCACGTCATTGCAAGCAACTGGGTTGATTTTTTATGTAAAGAATTTGAAATGTACATAACCGTTTTTGCTTTACTCTTTCTCTCCCATCAGAACCCCCTGACTTCGTCCAGAGACTGAAGAGCCAGCGGGTGAAGGAAGGGTCCCGTGTGGAAATGGTGGTGAGGTTCAAGGGCACGCCCATGCCCAAGATCCGGTGGTACCGAGAGAGGGCGGAGCTTCAGAGCACAGAGGACTTCAGGATCGTGACGGAAGGCGACACGAGCCGGCTCGTCATCGAGGAGGTTTATGAGGACGACTCCGGGAAGTTCAGCGCGACGGCAACCAACGTGGTGGGGAGGGTCATCTCTGCTGCCCACCTCATGGTCACAGGTATGATTATTCGTGTGTACGTGGATAAAGAAAATTTTAGTATACTGTATATTTAGTATACTTTAGAAACAAGTTCTTAATAACGTTGTATTTCTATGTTACTTGTACTTGCAATTAGCCTTCTGGCATGTATTTGCAAAAAATTAACCTCTTATATTTTCCCCATAACTGCATGACTATACAACAAAAGCTGCACAATGGCGTTTTGACACTAGCCTCGGCACCATCCTGGTTAGCTTACGTCCATTGCCTCAGTCGGTATACAGTGTATACGATTCCTCAACTTACCATGCAACATTGTTAAAAGATAACCGTGTCTTGTTCTCAACTTTTCCTTAGATACGACCCCACCTGCGACTCCAACAGGACGTCTGAGTACTCCCGGCAAGCTGACACCCGGAGCCTCCCCGGGACTCGCGCCTTCCCCCGCCGGAGCCGCGGCCGCTCCCGTGACTCCCATGACAGGAGCACCCGTGCCCAAGGACGCGGCGGTCGTCAAGCCTCTCGCTGTCAAACCTGCAGAAGAACCAGCTCCTGTCGCAGTGAAAGCAGGAGAAAAAAGACCTGCAGAAGTTAAGGCCGGAGAAATACCAGCTGCCAAGAAGGTGGCATCAAAGGAGGATGAACAGAAGCCTGTTCCAATGGAAGTGGACCAAGCGGCCGGGAAAGCCGCGGGGGAAGCCGGGATACCTAGGGTTGCTGGAGACGGCCAAGAGGAAGTCAGGCCAGCCGCGGAGGGTACAGATAAAGAAGCTAAAGGTAGGAATTTTCTCTTCTCTTAGTAAAACACTGTGAGTTCCTGCTTGATTTTTGTAAGCTACTGCGTGTCATTATGTACCACTAGTCTATATTAAATAGATGCATCGTACATATACAGTACCATAGAGCAAAATTCTTAAGTTAGTCACTTCCAACATCAGTATTCCGTCAAGTAGCCAACCAGTCTACAGTTTGAAGTATTCTAGTTGGAAGTACAACAGTGTACAGTGAGGCAGTGTAAATTAAGGAAGTCACTGATCATTTCTGGATAAACCACGGCACATACCTCCCAACGCAGAGCCTTCTCGTTGGCCAGCGCTATTAAGTACCAGATATCTCCACTCCATCCTTGACAGTTGGCTTCCAATTGTGATTGCGACCTTATTTTCAATGTCATGTGCATATATGCTGTCCCGTTATGTTGCTTCAGCACATTATCTTACGATGTGTATAACCCATATATTGAGATAGGCTGCATAGGTAGTAGCTTTACAGGTATAACCCGCAATATTTGTTCGCACAGGTCGGCTAGGTAGTTTACCTTAGCTGCGTGTGATAGTGTGGACGCCATATGGGTACTTTGGCTCATCGATTATCGATTTTAGACATGTCCACAAATACCTGAATATACCCTTCCAAAACTAGCATTCCCAAGTCCTCTGGGAGTAAAAGCGAGTGACGTAGCTGACACGTCAGTGACCCTAAAGTGGACCCCCGTGACGGGCGCCACGGACTACAGAGTTGCGGTGACCCCGCCCGACGGTCAGGTCGTTGACCCGGTGGGAGGACCGTCCGTCTGGGAGCGGACCGTGGCTGGGCTCCGTCCCGGGCAGGAGTACGTCTTCACCGTCACCGCCATCGGGCAGGAAGGGCAGAGCAATCCTTCTAAGCCAGTGAAAATAAGCACAGCGGGTATGGACGGTGCTTACAATACACGCTGCTTGCATCGGTGTGCTGTGGGCGTGTAGCTGAAGATGCTGCGTATTCTGCTACTAAGTTGTGATGATCTTTAGCCATTAAGATTACCCTTTGTTGTTTGTTCCTTACGTTTATGGAATCAGCCTCAGTAGTTTATTTTAGTTATGTTAGATTTGCTTCTCGCAGTCAATGGAGCTGACTCAGTCTTAACATTGTTAAGGTGCCGGAATTTATCCCACAGTATCAAAGCTGGATTCCGGTGAAGTCATGACAAAAGCTGGCTGATTGTGTCAAAATACATGTTAGTATTGTTAAGGGTGTGGCTGTTATAAATGTTTCTAGAAGCAGTAGATACCACTGCTTGGTTGCCGCTTATGCATGGTGCAGACACAAGCTGCTTGCCTGGCAAGTTTGTCTTTTTTGTGTGTGTTAAGTAGAGTACGCATAGGTGTATTTGCGATTCTTGAGATCCACATTTCAATCCGATAACATAAAATAGAGGCAAAAGCCAATTCATTCCAGGGAAGGAGACCACCATAGTCACGTTCAAGGGCCTCTATAATCAATTACCATAATTTTCAGTATAGAACTACCCCCTATGCAGGCAAGGCTAATTCGGATACGCGGGATTACAAATGAAAGTCGCTGAATGTAACAAAGGCTTCATAGTGAAAATCATAAAATTTACGGAGGTTCTTTCCTTACTGATCACTAATTCATTTAAAAGCTTGCTTTAAGATTGGGACACCAGTGACGCCATCATGCCCTGAAGAAGAAAATAACTACTTGATGCATTTGATCACCCTTTAGGTGCAACTGGAAAGGCCAAGGTGATCTCTCCTCAGACGGGGAAGAAGAAACAAGCTAGCGTGGAGGGTGGGAAACTGTCGCGGGAGGGAAGTGCCGAAGACACCGTCACATCTCCGAGTCAGCTCCGCCGGCAAGGTGATCTGGTCAGGTCTCCCAGTCAGTTACGGAGACAAGGGACCGACGACTCGGCCTCCGTGAGTTCATTCCACACGGCAACGGGTGAGGAGGTCATGTCCATCAGCTCGTACGCCACAGCAGAAGCCGGCACCCAGGAAGGGTAAGGTCGTTGGTTCTGGCTCAGGCTTGAACAGGTCCGCTGTCGCTGTGCTATGTGTGTACGGTCCTACCTGTGACTAACGCTTCTTGCCATGGCAAATTGGCTGATATTTAGATTTTGCACTATCTACGTACTATGTGATGTTTTGAACTTGAAGACTAGTTCTGTGCTTGAATGTGGTGCAGGTGTTTAGCGGTGGCAAATCTCTTTTTCGAATTTGAGACAGTGTTCTCCATCTCACCCCGTCTTTTAGAAAGTATTTATGTACAATTATAGCAGTCCACGAAAAAGTACACAAACGTACGAGTACCACACAAAATGTTGTTTTTGATAAGCTAATCGATCATACATGTAATACACTTATAGTATTGTGCAAATGTCCTGGACGTTTTCGTGTTGTTAGTGACATGTCCGGTTATAAACTTTAATGGGAAAACGCCGCGGTAGCTGAAACGAAAATGTGTAACATCGCCGGCAAGCAACATTGCATGAGTTTTGAACTGATGAGCTTAAAGTTAAAGTATCTTCGCATGAGATTCAGAGAGGTCATAATGTATGGAGCATTCAGCTGGGGCAACTGGTGTTTGCTTGTTGCAGATCTCCTAGTGTTCAGGTTCCTCAGCCGAAGCTATTCATGTCGGGCTTGCTGTCTGGGATTCCCGGTGCCTTCTCTAGTCTACATGCTGGCCAGGCCGGTCTGCCTTTAAACCAACAACAAGCGCAGATGTATGTATGCCTGCAACAGAACTGGTGAACGCATGGCCACTTTTGATATATCGGTTAATGTTACTCCTATGCCATGTAGTATGATGTACTATTGTGTGTTACTAACTATCTGGGTGTACTTCTGTGTCACATTCGGTTGTCTTTTTCAGTTGTTGAGTGTCTCCCAGTAGACAAAGATTTAAGCTAGGAATTAGGTTCAGTAGAGGATACTACCACACTAATCAAACGCCATTTCCATCTCTAAAATACCTTCAAATATTGTTAAGATTCTTTTCTTTTAAGCGTAACAAAGTAGAGGAAATTCGCAGGGATTCTGTTTTGTTTTAAAATACTCTTGATGGTAACTGAGCAGGTGCATTTTATAAACCAAAGGGCATCAGAGGTCTCTACAATAGAGGAAATGTCGGAAGGAGAAGAGGACGAGTTGTCGGGAGCACCGGAGTTCAACAGGGGCCTGGGGAGCTGCCAGGTGGCCAGAGGCGAGTCCGTCAGATTCGAGTGCGAAATCTCCGGATCCCCGCCTCCTACCATCATATGGCTCAAGGTACTTCTTGTTCTTCTTGAGGTTTCAAGATGGTGTCAGTGCCGAACGTTAAACTTGCAAAGTTCTCAGCACTGAACAATTTAAAACGTCTTGAACATCTCTGCATTTCTTTTCACACAGGACGGCAAAGAGATTGACGAAGATAACCAACACTTTGCTAAGTATGGTGACGACGGTAGTTTTGCGCTGGTCATCACTAACGTCACCGATGCCGACTCGGGTGCGTACAGTTGCCAAGCGACCAACAAGAAGGGACAGGCAACTAGTACCGCGGAACTCACCGTCAAACCACGTGAGTTGCACAATTAACCTACTCATCCTTTATGATCCTCATTTTTCACACTCCATAATGTCTTCTTTGAGGTGCTTCTCAGGTCATAAGGCCTGAGAGTTATTGCGTCAACAGTCGTAGCAGAGCGTTAATTACTTAGTATCCACCGCTGCAATAAGTGCTTATTAACTTGCCCCTATCCAAAGAATGCTGTGGAGTTGGCTTCAGTGTTCTTGTCTTAACTATTCGTGTCCTCAATAATATATACTGTTTTAACAAACAACGTAATAAAGACGTAGGTAATGCACGACAGTTAAGCTAGTCGTGGGCTAAACTTGATTTACGCAATTTGTAGAAAACATTTGGTAAACGTCTTGTATGATACCACGCTTCATACATAGATTCAATTGGTGGAGAAGAAACGAGAGGTGAGAAAATCGCGCCGATATTCGCGGCGAAACTGACTGGTGCCAAGGTGGCAGAGGGAGCAGATGCCCGATTCGACTGCGTGGTCGCAGGGACACCTGGGATTGAGGTCAGGTGGTTCAAAGATGGCGTCCCTGTGGGCAATGGCGGCAATCGGCTGCTCACGTTCAGAGGGGACGGCAGTTGCTCACTGGACGTCAAGGACGTCACCTGTGATGACGCCGGCGTGTACGAGGTGCAGGCTGCTAACATCGCGGGGACAACAAAGTGTTCGGCTCTGCTGGTTGTACAACAACTGGAACGTAGGTCACCGTGGTGTGACGTGACGTCTCGTTTCTTGGCTGAACCCTCCCCGCGTTCCGACATTTTCTACCCTCTGTTGCTCTTACCCTTTGCGTTAGAATGTCGCTGGAGTTCCTAACATGTCGTCTTTTCCCCTGTTGTAGGTTCCCGTAGACATTGTACTTGTTCTTTATTGTCGACATTGCTGTTTTCCTCGGGTGTTCCCTGTCAACACGTATGACGCTTAGATAGCTTGTGCTTAACATCCGTTAGACATAATGGTGCATACATCTAAACGACTCCATGTAATTGTGATTATATTTTCCTTATACTTTTGGCCGGTAAATTAAGGTAAACAGACTTAATCGTTCTCCACTAAACGAAATGACGTTGCCTGGGAACATGTGCACCATTTTTCGTTCAAAGATTTTCAGCTTAGTCATAGGCAACTGACGACAACGTGCTCTTCCCCACCGCTATCTTCTTTGAAACTGATGTACAGAATTGTTTAGCTGTGTCTGCTTCAATCTTGCAGTAGTCTATCGTGCCGTCTTCGATTAAAATCTTTACCACATCGGTTCGTCCCAAGGCGATGACAAATCCCACTAGCCATCACATTGCCTCCTGAACCTTCGCATCAATAGCTACCACAGCTTATAAAACTGTTCTTTTCGGCTTGGTGTTACGTTTAGGTCGGTCCCCATAGCTGTAGTTGGCACACGACCCATCTTTTCAAAAAGAATTCGACTGCTGTTCCACCACCGTCTATCATTTTGCAGAAAAGAACTCCGTCCATACACATAAGCCGGCCTCCCAGCCCGTGTCCTTAGCCACAATACAGGAGGAGGTCAAAGTCCAAGGTCAGTGTCGTGTGGCCCTGACGGCCATGTTGCACGACGTGTATTGAGGATGCTGCACTGTTGAACCGTTTTTGCCTCAAAGGAGTGATATTTTGGCAAGAACGTGTGTTACTTGGTGGTTGAGCGTCGTAGTAACAACCTAATGTTCCAGATAGACAACTACATGTAAATATGATTATCTAAGTTGAACATGATGATGCATCAACACTTAATAGCCTGGAGGGTTACGTTCGTCTATGTCCTTTGTTTTTTTTAAACTCGTGCTACAAAAGTTGGTTGCACGCAGTGTGTGTGTCTTCTTTCCGTTGCAATATTGTACTTCATCTCTCATTCCACATTGCTCGTCATACTGTGATGCTGCATCGTAGAAGCATGTTCAAGAATACATGCATGTTATTGCAGTGAGTGTGAGTGTTCTGATGTATCAACGTCATATATATCCTTCTTTCCTTTAGAATATATCTAGTTGTATCTGGTTAATAATTGTAATGCAGAATATTCTAAGGTCGGATTACGTTTAGCTGTTGAGGCACCAACGCAGACGATTGATACGTCAAGAAAACTGAATTTTCTACGGACACATTGAAGGGCTAATATTGTCGAGCATTCTCCGAACTTCCCTTAGATTTAAAGCCACCGACAGAAATCAGTGCTTCATACGTGAGTGATACAGCCATCACGGTGTCGTGGAAACCTGTTGCCGGGGCCACCGATTATAACGTCATAGTCAGTCCGGCCGACGGCGTGGTAAGAGGCTCCGACGACGGGCCGACATTTCCCGAGAGAAGAGTCGAAGGGCTTAAGAGCGGTACCGAGTACACGTTTACGGTCGTGGCCACCCGGAAAAACGGCCACGCTGTTGCCGGTGTGCCGTTGACCCAGACGACCAGAGGTTAGCGCACTTGAGGTCACCTGGGGCTGGCGCTAGCCTCATGACCTGCTCGCTCTGCAATGAGAATGGCAGCCTTCAGTTACTGGCATCTTTCACAGCTGCTGTCTGTACGAAATCCATAAAACAAAATATGTGAAAGTAAGAGTAAGCAGTGATACAAAAATGAAGGATGCAAGTGTGTATTGTACATGAGCTCCTAGAACGTACTGTGTAAGACTTGCGACTTGTTTTTTTTTCAGCAATTCAAAATCAAGCACGTGACAATTAAGTTGTGCCTTTGGCATACCAGACTGCATCTGGGCTGCACTGGGAGGAACATCGTCTACCACAAACAGTAGACGTCATGTATGACGTCCACATTCATGTTTACCGCATTTGGCAGGATATAAGGGTGAGAGATCTTTCTTAGTATTACGTCCTTTGATTTTTATACTCTTTCTTTCACAGAGGTTCCTACACCCGGTGCTTTACGTTCCGAATCAGTGACAGACACCGGGTTGACGCTGGCCTGGCTGCCGACGCCCGGCGCTACAGACTACGAGGTTAGCATCAGCCCACCCGGCGGAGACGTCCACCCGCCCAGCGGAGCGACCACCGAGCCCCAGCGGGTCATCAGTGGGCTCGAACCCGGCAAAGAGTACGAAGTCACCGTCACGGCTAAGATCGGCAACAAACGCAGCGCGCAGGGCGAGTCATTTAAGGTTACGACAAAACGTGAGTACAGTCAACCCAAGATCATTTTACTCATCCTGATAGATTAAAGCAAGGACATATAGCACAATAAGTGTATGTTTCTTGTATTTTCGTAGCTCTTGGCACGCCTGCGGGATTCAGTGCCAATAAGATCACAGACAACAGCATGTTCGTCTCGTGGACGCCTGTCAGCGGTGCAACTGACTACGAAGTCAAACTGGACCCACCGGCCGGCGAGGTGAAGCCGACGGAGAAAGGCTCGACTGTCGCCGAGCGGCAGCTGACCGGGCTGTCCGGCGGGATTGAGTACCGCATCAGCGTGGGCGCCAAGAACCAGAAGGGCGACCTGGTGTGGGCGGAGCCTTTCTCAGTCGAAACAAAAGGTGGAGAAGACATTAATATTTCAGCATCAATTTATAACATTCAGAACTATTTGCATGTACTTCCAGAAAATGTCCTTCATACTAAATTGGAACCAAACATATTACCGGAAGCTTACTGCAACTGGTTTAGATCTGACCTTCTGTTATTGCACCAAAAGTGAAGCAACATTCTGCACTTGTCTAAATCAACAGAACGACATGAGTACGGTATCTATTCGTACTTTTATACAGATCTAGTCAGCAGCTAAATAGCACATAGTCTTCAATGATTTTAATTGGTAGGCTACTTTACGAACGACGTCTAGACCGTTTGTGTAATATTCTTTTTATTTTGACAGACCTGCCCACCCCAAGCGGAACAGGCGTGTCTGGTTTAACGGATAATGAGATGACGGTGACCTGGGCGCCTGTCCCCGGAGCCACAGACTACGTCCTCAAGGTCCAGCCGCAGGTCGGCGAGGTCCAGGTGCCACCGGAGGGGCCGGGAGAGGCCAGGCGGCACCTGACCGGACTGTTACCGGGAGTAGACTACACCATCGTGGTGGAGGCAAAGGGTGACAAGCGGAAGAGAAGCGCGCCATGCGCACCAATGAAAGTGAAGACTAAGGGTAGGTTTATCTTTGATAACTAGTAGTACTTGCACTTTCAGTGTTCAAAAAGTTTTATTGTCTTTTGCTTATACAATGTGAAATCAACCCTTTTTGCATAACATGTATGTACTATGCAATGTATCTTTTTTTCCGGAACGACCGATAGGTACATTGAATAATATTATAAAGAAACTTTAATATGCCCCTTTAAGCAAATTTTTATCAATCTTAAATTACAATAACCCCGAACCATATCTTCCACAGCAAGTCCTGAGCGCTGTGCAATGTACGCGCCTGCAGTATTAGGCATTATTGCGAAAACTAAAAGTCTTATTCTTTCCGTTATCTTGAGCAGCCCTGTGCAGCCCTTCGGACATCAAGACCAGTAGCGTGACGGCCAGTTCAGCGACGTTAGAGTGGGAGATGGTGCCAGGCGCCACCGACTACAAAGTCCACATGGAGCCGTCGGACGGACAGGTGACCAAGCCTAAGAAAGGTGGACACCTTCCTCAGCGCGAGGTCAAGAACCTGACCCCTGGGAAGGAATACGTCTTCACCATCACCGCCGTCAGCCCTGCTGGGAACAGTGCGCCGTCTGAGGAAGTCAAGATTGGGACTCCAGGTAAGGCACGATTTGGTCAGTAGGTGGATGTCTCTTAGACTCATGCTATCAAAAGATGACCTGTGATTATCCTTGTAACTTTGCCATTAGTTATTCGTTATTATGACAGGTGTCGCTGTTTTTAGAATGTGATATTTAGTATGAAACGTTAATCGTGGTGAGTCTCATGCCATCAAACATCATATCCTCGTCCAAAAATGCATCAGTGATTATCTCCCGTTTGGTAAACATGCAGTGGTTTTCACAAATCTGTAGAAATTGCGGGTCCGTCTGACCTAAAAGTACCAACCGTCACGGACACGGAAGCCACCCTGTCCTGGGCTCCTGTCCCCGGAGCCAAGGATTACAAACTCCGGACACAGCCAAAGCACGGAGACGTGGCCACGCCCACGGGTGACGCAACTTCCGCTCAGAGAACAATATCCGGTTTACACCCGGGAACCATTACAGCGTGTACGTTAGCGCCGTGACAGACCAGGGCGTCGGAGCGGAGTCCCAGCCTGCCCACATCAAGACCAAGGGTACGTCCGGAGTAACACTCCAGGCTGGGATCTTACTATCGTTTAAGCCGCGTATATATGTTTTGCTTGACAATTCTGGCTTTGACGGTGCACCAAAGTGTAGGAAATACCCGCTTAAAGCCCTCCCTTTCTGGGTGGATTGGATGGTACTATACTGGAATGGCCAGCTTGTTATCTCCTTCAGGCATAGTTTTCTAATTTTAATCCAACTGCGTTACACTTGTAAGCGGGCATGGAGTATGCTTGTCTTCGTTATGAACTGCTAGGAGGGGAACTGATCACATTAACATGTATCTAAATATATTCGAAATTAGTGAATTCGAACTGGAAAACACAAGCATGAATCGTGGATTGAGTCTGCAAGTACACAAACAGTGTATGGCTTTTTGTGATTTGGGTTATGGATTCAACATCCGCCTTGTTGTAGTGTGCAAACTTTCTTCGGATCGATAACTACATGCAATGTCTATTCATGATTCCACCTCCGATTGCTTCTGTATGTATTTTTTATATGCCTTGCTATGACTATTTTCCTGTGCTTGTCCCTACTTTCGATTGGTTAAGTATATGATTGCTGAAACAGTGCTCTGCATGTACTTGCCCTGGGTCGATATCGTTCCACTCGTGATGGGAATGTGGTGATATGCGTTCCTCAGGACTCGAGATATGTACTTCACTTTATACAATTAAGGTCATGTGGTAACGGGATGCATGGCTATAGGAATGGCCAGTGCTCTTTCAATAGTACGGTCATGTCGACTTGAACCATACCTGGCTTCTGGTTGAATGCGTGGTTACCCCAGGCATGATTAAAACTGCCTCTTATCCCCTTTGTATTCGCTATTCAAGGAAGATACTAAGTGAAACACATTTAACCTTGGTACATTTATATCTACTTCCCCCCATAGCTTTGCCTTGTCCTTGCTCCCTCAATGCTTCGGAGGCGACCGACTCGGAGTTTAAAGTGGCATGGCTTCCCGTAGAGGGAGCGGAGTACTACGTAGTAACGATAGATCCGCCCGGCGGTCAAGTGTCGGAAGTGACGGGCAACCCGTCCACGCCGGCCCGCGTTATCAGCGGACTGGAGGCCGGGAGGGAATATCGGGTATCCGTCACGGCTACTGGCAAGAAAGGAGATAGTGCTCCCTGTGAACCATTCAGCGTGAAAACGAAAGGTTTGGTTTACTATAATGGCATTATTCTGAGCTACTACGTTTAAACTGGTACTAGCTTGATCGAAACCATGGCACTGCCAGCAGGCCATGTACATGTAGTACCCAGGCCGCTATTGCTATCTGCTGTCCTAGCCATGCGCTACTGATGATGGCTCACGAATGAGTTCTAACAAAAGCTGCCCTCTTTTTTCTCAATATCATTCAAGAAGACGATAATAATGGCAACCTGTAAGACCTGTCCGCATACCTGTTCATGACAACTGTAGCTATATAAGTTAGGGTTTACTTCGATCTGTAAGCCCTGCTCAGTTGTGTTTTATCAGTGCACTTGAATGCTTGGTAACCTGTCGCCATCTTGGAAATCGATGCAAGTCACTTTTCCCACAGTTCTTTGCGCCCCAGCCGGTATTTCCGCTACCGCTATCACGGCCTCAAGCTTTGAGGTGACCTGGACGCCAGTCCGGGGTGCGTCCGAGTATGAAGTGAGAATGAACCCGGATTCCGGAAAAGTCGAGGTCCCGGAGGATGGCCCTTCAGCACCAAGGAGAAGTATCACTGGGCTGAGTGCCGGAATTGAGTACCAAATCACAATCGTGGCAAAGAAGGAAAGTGGAGCCGCACAGCCAAGTGAACCGTTCATGGTGAAAACGCGAAGTATGAAAAATCATCAAGCTTTTAACCACGTATGAACAACACCAACTACTATGTCACTAGGGCAACTAAATGATTCATACCATGTACCATAAAACCCCATTTCTGCTTGACTCAAGCTCCTCGGCCCTTTTCACTTCTTAACTTCATCTAACTCATCTGCAGTGTTTGTGACTCTTTCATATTGCCACTGCTTGGTCTATACAGAGTTGCACGGCAGCAAACATACACTATAGCAACATGCATAACTGTTGCGGTGCAAAGGAAATAAGCTTTCCCGTACATACTAGAACGCACCCCAATAAGTATCTGATGCATCTGTTTGACTACTTATCATTAACATTATTGTCATCAGACATTCAAGTTGATAGGTCGTACATCTGATGTAGTTTTTGTGTACCTTCTAAGAAAATCACCTTCTAAGTGATAACTTTGACTGAGCTCGCCATGAAGATACTAATGTCGAGATCCGTAATCTGCACACCAGCAGTTTCACAAACGTTTTGCGTAGACATAAAAGAATGTAAATAGCTCAGTCGTTAGCCACAAGTTAACATGTTACAGAGATTCGCTCCTTCCTCCCTGCAGCCTTACAATCTCCAAAAGGCCTGAATGCCCCATGGGTAACCGACTCAGATCTTACCCTGACTTGGGCGAAAGTTCGCGGGGCGACTGACTACGCCGTCCGGCTGCAGCCGCCAGCAGGGGAGGTTACCGAGACGGAGAACGGTCCGACGGCGCCCGAGCGGCGTGTCACGGGCCTTCTCCCGGGAACGGAGTACAAAATCTCGGTGGAGGCCGTCGGCTCGGAAGGACGCAGTTCCCCGAGTTACATCAAAATTGCAACAAAACGTAGGTCTGATTTGTACGTCGCCCCGTTAGTCCAGAGTCCCGTCACGTGGTTCTAATGTTACCTTGTCACCTCGTCCTGGTCTGTCTCGTGAAGTAACGCAATCGCCCGGGACGTGTCTGTGTGGTATGCATGCTTGCTCATTTCTCTCATTATGTCATGATTGCAAGAAAAAGCATGTGGCGCAAAGTAGCTCAATTGGGACGTTGTCGTGTTTCATCGGTTTTGGTGAAAAAGGAAGAGAGGAAGTATGATTTCATATGTCCAACCAAAACAGCACTAAGAGCGCCGTTCGACCTGGCGGCGACGTCGATCACCGATCGGACAATGCTGGTATCGTGGCCGGCAGTCCCGGGTGCCACCGACTACAGGGTCACGATGGACCCGCCCGACGGGGAGGTGACGGTGGCCCGAAACGCTATCGCGGAGTCCAAGCGGGAAATCAAGGGACTGCAGCCTGGCAAAGAGTACCAAATCACCGTGCTGGCGCTCAGTCCTGTGGGCTCCAGTGCACCTTCCGAGTCGTTCGTTGTCAAGACGAGAGGTACAGTCTGGCTGTCAAGAGATTTAAGTGTCTTGTCTCGTGCCCGTAACGCTTGATAAAGGAAATCCTCACCTCAGTTTCGAATCATTTCCGTTTTACGTAGCAACGTTATCCATCTTTGATAACGATGATAATGGCATAAGGAAGAATGAATCATCATCCCGAAGGATACTGTTCCATGAAAATCGGCGATGTAAAACATTATCTGTCTTCGTCATCTTTCTTTGGGTATCACTACCTACAGCTGCTAGCTTCTTGCCACGGTCGCCAAACTTTGGCTTGTCCTTTGTCTCTTATGCTCAATGCTTACACGTTTGCATGATCCAATAAGTATAATCTAACTGGTCACTCTTTTGCCATTCATTGTTGTTAAGACCACTTCTTCATCCTTTTCTGCCATTTTGCCTACTTACAAATTTCATACTATCAATCATCTCTCTTACGTGTTTCCATTCTGTGTCTGTTTCTATCTCTCACCTGTCTCATAGCTCTAGCGGCTCCGTCCAGCATTTCTCCGGCTACTGTCACGGATAATAGCGCTGGCCTGAAGTGGACCGCAGTCCCTGGCGCCACAGACTACACGCTTACTGTGGAACCTGCCGGCGGAGAGGTGTGGGAGACCCAGGCTGGGCCTGGAGACCCCGAGCGGGTCATCACGGGACTGCAGTCCGGGACAGAGTACGAGATTACCGTGTCGGCCACGGGACCCGACGGAACTAGTGCACCGAGTGAAAGGATAAAGATAAAGACAGAAGGTGCCGTGTACCATCTTCTAGAGCTAATGCATGTGACGGGTGACCCTGATAATTATTCCTTCCTTACAGGCAAGATCTGAACAGACAAGAATTTAGTGTTGTGAAGTCATTTCGATACAGCTGTAAAATTATGTTGTACTAGTCGTATTTTCAGCAGTGTTTACGTCTGTGTCCTAACAGCTTTGGCTGCCCCGTCGGAAATAAAGCAAGCCACGGTGGCTAACGAGGAGATCGTCCTGAAGTGGAACCCGGTTCCCGGGGCCACGGACTATGAGCTGACCGTGGAGCCCCCGGCCGGAGACATCGTGGCCATGAAGGGAGGCCGTGCCCGGCCCATGCGCCGCCTGACCGGACTGACCCCCGGCACCGAGTACAAGATCGTCGTGGTGGCAAAGGACGCAAAAGGGAACGCAAGGAAGTCCGATACCATCTCGGCAACTACTCTAAGTGAGTTCCATTCTTCAATTTACTTTTCTTCAAGGGTATCTCATCTCTTTGTATACTATAACCTGTCCATGACAACATAGTATTATGCTCGAGATGTTATAAATATGGCCCAGCAAGGCTACTTAGCAAGTATCACTGACCTGGTAGCTGTAACGTTATGAAGTCAATTTTGCTACATTTATGCGACATATGTAATGTACTGCACTTATGGCCATCCTTTTGTCTTGACGATAACAGACATTCCAAAGGCCGAGGGCCTACGAGCCTACGACATTACCGACACAACAGTTTACCTACGATGGGCCGCGATCTCCGGGTCCAAGGACTACACCATCAACCTCAGACCGTCCGCCATCGCCTCGGTCAGCGCGCCCGAGAACGACATGAGGACGCCCGAGCGGCTGGTGCAGGGACTGCAGCCTTCTACCGAGTATAACATCTCCGTGTCGGCCATCACCGCTGATGGCCGCGGCCCCCCATGCAACCCAGTCACTATCGTGACCAAAGGTAGGTGACAACAATGTTTAAATCCTGCTACACGGTGTCCATTGATCCATTGCAAAAAGTTTCTATCTGCTTGACATTGAGCTGAAATTGAAGTGAAAGCTTCTACCTATGGAGGATACATCTAACAACACATCTATGCTTTGGTTTGCACCGAAGCACTCCCCATGCCTGAGGACTTCAAGCTCGTGACTGTGACTGACGAAGCTGCATTGATCAGCTGGGCTCCCATTGAAGGTGCCAAAGACTTCCATGTGGCAGTGGAGCCGGCGGGTCCGGAGGTTGCCCCTACAGAAGCAGGTAAAGCCGCCTCTGAGCGGGTCCTGCGCGGCCTGCAGCCTGCCAGGGACTACTGGGTCACCGTTACAGCCAAGAACGAAAAGGGAGAAAGCAACGAATCGCAGACGTTCTCTTTCAAAACTATGGGTGAGACTTTATGATGTTCCATTTCTGAGACTCAGTTCCCCTACTGTTGTATTCTTTCATAAGGATGATGACTGTCGATTCCATTGCACAATTACCATAGTCCAGAGATGGTCACTACCAAACTAGATATAAGAAATAAAACTTACATTTCCCCATGTCCTTACAGCCTTGGCCACTCCGTCTGGCTTCAAAGCCAGTCGCGTGACGGACACTACATGCGTGCTGTCCTGGACACCCGTCTCTGGTTCTGAAGACTACACGGTGAAGGTCCAGCCCCAGGGCGGGGAAGTAGCAGTGCCCCCAGCCGGCCCGTCGGCATCGGAGAGGCACCTGAAGGGACTGAAAGGGAAAACAACATACACGGTTACCATCGTCGCAACAAGCAGCAAAGGAACGAGCGCAGAGAGTCAGACATTTACGTTCACAACAACAGGTAAGATGAGCAATAATCGGTAGCTCTAGGGTCGGCCACGCCTATTTTACATGTAGGTATGTCAGTGGATCATCGTACGTATTTACGTGCGGCAGAAATTACTGAGTCCTTAACATCATATCTTTGACGATGTTCCTTCTTCTTCGTTCATCTTTGTAGGCACAAACTGGTTATACTCTGTCCATACAAGTGACCTTGTAATTGTACGTTTCCTCCTTCCTCAGAGCTTCCGTCGCCCTCTGGTGTTGAAGTGTCCTCAGTGACAGCCTCGGGCCTAGTGTTGGCGTGGAGTCCTGTCTCCGGTGCCACCGACTACATCGTCACGTCGGAGCCGGACGCCAGGGTGTCTCCCGGGGAAGGCGGAGGCAAGAGCGATGCCAAGCGGGTGGTGTCTGGTCTCGAACCTGGAACTGAGTATACATTCACAGTAGTGGCCGTCAGCACGGAGGGCTCCAGTGCCGCATGTGAACCTGTTAAAGTTAAAACCAGAGGTAAGAGGACATGTCGGATATATGTAGATTATTTGAGAAGTTTACATAAGTATATGAGTCATCACAAACAGTTGATGGGGAAGAGGATGCCTAACTGTTGTAACGTCAGGTCTTGTGATTTGACTGATTTCTGAATCAAGCTTAAGGAACTTCCTTACCATAGTTAGTTAATAGTCACACACAAGAATGCTAGCACTCATATACGTATACTTTTTGCTCTACACGTTCATCTTCAGTTCTGGACACGCCTGCTAAGATTGAGGCCGCTACGGCAACAACCAACACGGCTGTGATCACATGGACGGCCGTGAAGGGGGCGACCGACTACAAGCTGGTGGTGGAACCTCCTGGAGCTGAAGTCCTGGTAGACAAGGAGGGACCTGCCGCTCCCAAGAGAATACTGAAGGGACTGCACCCTGACACACATTACCATGTCTATGTAACAGCCATCAGTGCAGCTGGGGAGAGCACACAGTCAGAAGCTTTGGAGATTCAAACTGCCGGTGAGAAAACTGAATTTTCTTAGGCATCTTTCTAAATGTTATACGTGTGATACAGGTTTTGGTATCTACCCGTTGTGGAAAAGCTGTCCTGAATTGAACAACAAATTTGAATGTGGGTCGTCAATTATAAGCCTTGAGTTGTATTCCTTGTTTGCTTGTCATCCTACGGTATTTCCCAATGATGTTAATTAGTAATGTTTTCTTCAGCGCTGCCAAGCCCTGCACGTCTGAGCGCACCGACAGTCACAGACAGGAGCGTGCTCGTCTCCTGGGCTCCGACAGAGGGCGCCGAGGAGTACATCGTTAAGGTGCAGCCTGAGTGTGAAGTAGTGCCGACAGCAGGAGGACCGGGCGCCCCTGAGAGAGAACTCAGGAACCTGAAGCCAGCCACGGAGTACACTATCCGGGTAGCTGCCAGGGGACCGCTGGGAACAAGCGCTGACAGCGAACCTTTACCGATCCGGACAAATGGTAAGGTTTAGATTCATCAATACATAGATATTTGTTTTGAAGACAGTCGTCCTGGTTTTTCATATTTCTGATTCCAACCTACTTACCACTGGCCACAGCTTGAATACAAGATGTTTATTTCTCCCTTGTTCATCACATCGTCTCATCTTACCGTTTCAGCGCTGCCTACTCCATCTAAGGTCGAGGTGCCTTTCGTCTCCGATAAGGAGGTCAGAGTGTCTTGGCCGGCGGTGCCTGGTGCTACCGACTACCACGTGAAGACCCAGCCGGAGGCCAGTGTACAGCCCGGGGAGGGCGGTCCTGGTGCGCCAGAGAGAGTCGTCACCGGACTGAAACCCAACACGGAGTACAGCATCAGAGTCGTGGCGCTCACCAAGGAAGGTAGCAGCGCCATGACTGAACCTGTGAAAGTCACCACCAAAGGTCAGTGTTGTGTCTGATACATCCTTTACTCTTTCCCTGTCAGTCATTTTTAGGAAATCGCTGACGTCTGTGTATTAATACTTAAATATGAATATCAGTTGCTACATCTTACAACTGTCTTTGCAGTTGCATCAAATGTAGTTTGTGTGGAACGTTCTCCAGTTGTTTTATCAATTGTAATCAGTTGAAAAATGCTACTTCTGTCATGTCATACATCTTTTTTCATTTTCAGCTTTGGAAACGCCTTCCAAGATCCAGCCTGCCTCAACAACTGCTGACATGGCCGTGATCACCTGGTCGGCAGTGAAGGGGGCTACCGACTACAAGGTAGTCGTAGAACCCTCCGGACCTGAGGTCCAAGTAGACAAGGAGGGGCCAGCCGCTCCTAAGAGAATACTGAAGGGACTGCACCCTGATACCGAGTATACTGCCTATGTGACGGCTGTTAGCGATGCTGGAGACAGCACACAGTCAGAACCATTCAAGCTGAGAACCCCCGGTGAGATCGCTATTCGTCTTCCTTAGTTTTTAGTTTTTACAATCCAGCATTGAGAGTTTTCAGCTTTCTTTTTTTTCACAAGGGTTGTTTATTGTTGGTTCAAATATAAAGAACATAATCGATAGGTGTTTGTAATCTCACCTGTCAAGAAAATTATAGAGTATGTATAGAGAGAAATCATTAAGTATTTCGACAATTTAGACAGCTAAAGATTACTTGTCGTGTATTGAAGGTGTATCATGTTTATTTTATTTCAATATTGTTTTCCAACAGGTCTGCCAGTGCCGGCACGTTTAGGTACACCGACAGTCACAGATAGGAACGTGATCGTCTCCTGGGCTCCGATAGAGGGTGCCGAGGAGTACATCGTTAAGGTGGAGCCTGAGTGTGAAGTAGTGCCGACAGCAGGAGGACCGGGCGCTCCTGAGAGAGAACTCAGGAACCTGAAGCCAGCCACGGAGTACATCGTCAGGGTAGCCGCCAAGTTTCCTCAAGGAGTGAGCGCTGAGAGCGAACATTTAGCCATTCGTACAAATGGTAAGACTTGGAAACACATGTCACCCTGATGACATTTTGTTAAATTGTGTTTTTTGAATTGTTTATTTCTTTGGATCAATTGAAACATATTTCAACACAAGACATAGCTAGAGCTAACTAGAATTTTCGTCAAAATCTTCGGTCTACATGTATCACAATAGATGAACGAAGGGTTTTATAGGCACCTGTGACCCGCTAAAGAAGTCACGGGTCATGATCTATCAGGTCATGTGTTCATGAAGTCAGTTATCGTGAGGAAAACCAAAGCAAACTATGTGTTTGAATTCATCAGATGGCGATCCATCACATGCTAATCTATTATATTGTTTTCTTCGAATTTTCCATCCAGCGCTTCCTGCTCCTACTGGCGTCGAGGTGCCTTTCGTCTCCGATAAGGAGGTCAGAGTGTCTTGGCCGGCGGTGCCTGGTGCTACCGACTACCACGTGAAGACTCAGCCGGAGGCCAGTGTCCAGCCCGGGGAGGGCGGTCCTGGTGCGCCGGAGAGAGTCGTTACCGGGCTGAATCCTAAGACGGAATACAGCATCAAAGTCGTGGCGCTCACGCAGAAGGGTAGCAGCGCCTTGTCAGAGCCCGTTAAAGTCACCACTAAAGGTAGGTGAAAATGGACCTAGAACCATCAGATTTTACAACTGCACTTGGCGTATGTACCTGTATTAAATGGTAAACATAAGCATAGCTGCAACTGACACAATGCCTACGTCTGATGTGTTTCCTTGCAGCACTTCCACGACCGAATGAAAGCAAAGTCAAGTCGGTTACGGACAACAGTGCCATCATTACATGGACCGGTATCCAGGGGGCTGCGGACTACCAAATCTCTGTAGAGCCCAAATGTGAAGTCAGGCAGACTAAAAAAGCTACCGCCCCAGAGAGGGAGCTGAGGGGTCTGTTGTCAGGCACAGAGTACACCGTCACCATCACCGCCGTCGGGAAGTCAGGAACAAGTGCCGTGTCCGAACCGCTTATCGTCCGAACCAAAGGTAAGACAACTGCATGTGCCATGTTTCACAACCTAAACGGCAGTTGTGTATATTAGCGAAGTCAGATAGGCTTTGACGGACAGGTAGTTGATGAATAGGGATAAGGACTTGCCATTACGCATTTTAATCTCATTTTGCGTTCAGGACAGTCCTTTGGACTGCATGGACAAGCGCCTTGTTTACCTTAATTGTTTCGACTGTCTCCTTACCGTTCACACATCGCCCTTAAAAGTGATATTAATACGAACATTTTGCAAAATTTCTAACGATTTCATATGCTTCCTCTTCTTGTTCTCTTCCTCATGACCTCTCGTTCCCCAATGTTTGTTTCCGACCCCCGTTTGTGGCATCCTATCTTTTATTTGCCATCTGTGATACTTTTACTCCTGCACTACTTCTACCTGCCTATCTAATATACTAACACATTCCCGTTCTAAATCACGATTATTGTGTCCTGTTCCTTCACGAACCCATTCCACTCACCGTACATGTTTGTGGGCTGCCCTTCTTCCAATCATCTTACCAACGTCCGTTCAATATGGCCGACACACGTGCAGCCTTGCTGCCTCCCGCGGATGTACGAGCCTCGTCCGTGACGGACTCCAGCCTTCTCCTGGCCTGGAAGCCCGTGGAAGGGGCCACGAGCTACATCATCAGTACGGAGCCGGACAAGGCCCGGGTACAGCTAGTGGACGACTCCAAGGGGAAGGAATCCCCCGAGCGACTGTTGACTCAGCTTTGGCCCAACACAGAATACACCTTAACCATCATAGCCGTCAACAACGACGAGTCCAGCATGGAGTGCGAGCCTTTCAAAGTCAAAACTCTAGGTGCATTCTTCGGTCGAACATCTCTGAGTGTCCTTGTTCTGCTGACCTTTTGTAAAGTTTGCCATTTGTCATCAAGCAGCGTCTTACATACCGCTGCTGTGTGCTGTGCCGAACACGATAACCATTTCTTTTTTTAATGTTGACTCATCATTTTTAACCATCCATGAGATTCCTTGCTTGATTTAAAGTTGAAGTGTGTAGACGAGGTCTGTGGAGTATGTCAAGATTTTGCTTGTACGGTTTTGAGTTTTGCAGTCTGATTTATCTTTCTAATGGGATACATCAGTGTACAACGACATCGAATCCCTGGTGCCTGCAGATATCGTAACAGGTTACTGTGTCAAGCAGATGTAAATATATAACGTTATACATGTAAATGACCATAATGTCTTGAAGAAACCGAGATTAAAACTTTGTGTTTGAATGCCAGATTAACACATGTCCCCTTACAAGTTCTATATTGTGACATTATGTTAACTAATAGTATATATATTTCTGTGTTTTAGAGGTATTTGCGTGTTCTACAGTTACATGCGTCTCTAGAATGTCTTAACACTGTCTGTTTGTACAATCCAGCATTGTCTAAACCGTCAAGAGTCACGGCTGGAAAAGTAGGAGACACGTCCGCTCTCCTGGTATGGGCTCCGGCTGAGGCGGCGACAAACTACGTACTGACAGTCAACCCTCCCGCCGAAGTCGTACCAACTGACAAGGGTCCGTCCGGCCCTGAGAGGGTCCTAAAGGGGTTGAAAACGAACACGGAGTACACCGTTAGCGTCACCGCAAAGAACCCAGATGGCACAAGCGCTCCATCAGATGAGTTTGTCTTCAAAACTAAAGGTTAGGACTCTAACATCTTGTTGAATGCAATGTCTTGCGGTATAGGTGTCATAATTAGCAGCGTTGTTGATTTTATCGTTGTGGATACTTGAAATCGTTGATGGACAGTCTAATACTACCAGATGACCTCTGGACTATTTCGAAGACTATACCGTTCAGGCTTTAGCTGGCTTTTAGAGCATCCACTCTACGGTCAGTACTAGTCATATTTACTTTGCACATTTCACACACGCAGAACAGTTTGCTTTAGGTTATCCAGTCCAGTGAAGCAATGACTGTTGAGACAAGGACTGTTTGTCTGGTTGACATCACTATTTCACACTCTTAAAGATAGCACTGTCCTTCACAGACCATTTTGGTGACCTAGATACAGGAAGCTCACTATTCCCTGTCTATGTCGTCTACAGCATTGCCGTCACCCGAACAGCCCAGCCAAGCGGCGGTCACCGACACAACCGCCACTGTGACTTGGGCCGCTGTACCAGGGGCGACCGACTACGTCGTGAAGGTGGACCCTGAGGGACAAGTTATGGAGACGGCAGACGGGGCCGGAGCGCCTGTAAGGCAGATACAGGGACTGAAGCCCGGCACAGAGTACAAGGTTGTTGTTTCTGGAAAGGGGGAGAAGGGCGACGGCGCAGAATGTGAACCAATCGTCATCAAGACCAACCGTAAGTTGTCACAATTTCTTCCCGTGGATAGCTTCATAGACCGCAGAAGTACCATAGAACTACATCGTGTCAAACCGTGGTAGAAATAGCAACGGCTATCTTGTACTTGATTAATTGGGCCAAGTAAACATTGCGGTCAACTTGGGACAGAATTCTAATTAAGGGTCGCGTGCCTTCGGTGAGATATTTGTATTATCTCCTACTGACCCTTACTGTGACTCTGTGATTCCTATGGATTCCTTGCCGCTGTTGCCTTAAGGGAGAAACATACTACTACTGTGCCAAATCCCATATATTGATGATGTTGACAACAACGCATCCACGTTGTTGTTCTAGCTTTGCCTTCCCCCGCTGCCGTCAAACCCACCTCGGTGGAGGATAACAAGCTGACCCTGGGTTGGTCGGCCGTACCAGGAGCTACTGACTACAAGATTGTCTCCAGCCCGGAGGACGTACAGGTGGTGACACGGAAGGGCGGCCGTGCTGACTCCGAGCGGGTCATCACTGGTCTCCGCCCCGGTACAGAGTACTCCTTCTCCGTGGTCGCTGTGTGTCCTGACGGAAACAGTGCACAGACAGAACCAGTTAAAGTCACCACGAAAGGTACGTTTGTTTTCTTCTCTTCTTCTCTATACAATCACAGGACATTGCTGGCAGCTACCTTCCAGCCATGTCGATCATTGATGTAATAGTTATCCAATCCATCTTGTAATCATTTTGTCCCAATTTCTTTTCCACATGAAGCATTGCCGACGCCAGGCGGTGTGAAGGCCGGGACCGTTGAAGACACCACCGCTACGGTCGTCTGGTCCAACGTTCCCGGTGCATCTGACTACACGGTGCAGGTGGAGCCCACAGGTGAAGTTGTTCTGACCAAAGAAGGTCCCGCGGCCCCGGTAAGGGAGATCAGGGGCCTTCAGGCTGGGCAAGAGTACAGAGTTGCCGTTGTCGGGAAAGGACCGAGTGGGGAGAGCGCTCCTTGTGAACCTATCTCCATTAAAACAAATGGTAAGACTCCTCTCCTTTCTTTCACAGTTCATTCATAAGAATCATATTGTCTACTAAAATTTGTATCCAGCTATTCGAAGACGTGTTGTTGATAAAGTAACTGTAACATTATAAACTTCCACAGTCCTTGCAACTCCATCCGGCATCAAGCCGTCGACCATTGACGACAACAGTGTGACCCTGGCTTGGACCTCGGTACCAGGTGCAACGGATTACGTCATATCCGGTGTGCCCGATGGAGCTAAGGTGTCGGCGGGTAAGGACGGCCCTGCAGGTGCCGAGAGAGTCGTCACCGGTCTGCAGGCAGCGACTGACTACTCCATCTCCGTAACAGCTGTTAGCTCTAAGGGCGAAAGTGGTGCTGGGCAGCCAGTACGAATCACGACAAAAGGTGAGCGCAAACATTAACACTTAATAACCACAGGTCGTCATAAAGATTTTGAATTGTAAAATACTGGTTGCACGGAATAAAGGCACTGACTGGTATGCGTCTGTTCGTATGCTTTAGCACTTCCAACTCCCGATGATGTGGCCGTCAGCTCGTCCGCTGACAGCGCTACGATAACCTGGGCACCTGTTCCCGGCGCTAAGGACTATGACATAGTCACCGACCCTCCCGCAGAGGTCTCACCGACAGACAAAGGACCGTCGGCCGCTGAGAGAGTGGTCAAGGGTCTGAAGCCAGGCACGGACTACGAGGTGAAGATTGCTGCCACTAACGACAAGGGCGTAAGCAACCCATGTCGGCCTGTGAAGTTTTCTACGAAAGGTAAGCAATCCAAGGTGTATGTTATCTCAAGCCAGGTCGCGTTCATTTCAGCGTTACCGCGAATTAGCCTCATATTAGCTGTAGTCTCAGCATTTCAACATGCAATTTGTTCCTAGACGCGCATGAAATGCTCTGACCATGATCCATTTGCTACTCTTTGATTCTTTTTACTTTTGATTTTTATTTCTGTCTTGGCTCTTATTTGTAAACCAATTGTTTTCTCATCAACGCACACATCATTCACAAACACATTAGTAGTATACAGACAGGTGTCCGATCATTTATACCATCACCCTGTTGGTGCAGTCAAACGTACCACACTTTCAAGAGGCTGGTTCTGAGCCTGTCACTTTATCGCCATTTTTTGTGAATTTCCACATTAACATCTGAGCAGCAGCTCCTAACCGTGCTATATCACGTTCTGTAGACATAGGGCTGCGAATCCTAAGAACACGGGTATGTGGGGTCCAGGCTGTCGCGCCTGCCAGTACCGCACCCACCTGCTTGGCGCAATGGGCAGCTGAAGCCGGACGATGTACTGTCACCGTCTACCCCGAGCCGCTTGGTACTTGATAACGCTTCTAGCCTTATACACATTTCACAGTACTCATCCGCTACCTTCCTATTCTTATGAAACGAACCTCAGTCGAGATGTTCCTCTCTAACCACTGGCTTCTTTAATCACGAGGCCCTTGAATCATGGACACATCATGGTAAAACGCACCAGCATGGCACAGGACATGCATACAGCTGTTTTAATGTTTATTATTTTTTCTAACTTCTTTACTTCTTTACTGTCCTACCTATCTGAATCAAGTGATCTTGTACCTCTCTTTCTGCAGACACTGTTTCTGAGCTCGATGACTTGCAATTGCCTGAGGTCTCGGCTGAAGTCGCCTGTGCATCAGACTCTTTCACAATAACAGTGTACAAGACCGACAATGGACCCTAGCACCACTTCCACACACATCACCTGCACATGTACATATACATGCAGTTTTCACCCTCGCCTGTTCTCATTTCACGTCTTTTCTACCTTTTCTCCTTAAAATGTGTCATAGATCAATAAGTAGCAAACGGATCACTGGTCAGCAAGCATTCTGTCCAAATTGACAGCCGTATACTTACGTATAAAAAGCATGTCATTTGACCTGTCCATTGGCCTTTTGTCATTGCCACGACTATGCGCGTCTAGACCTGTCAAAGATGGCCAAGGACCATGTTACGATTCCGTCGATGGCGATATTTTGTTCACCGATATTGCTATAACTAACGTGGAACTGAATCATGTGTCGATTGTGGCGTTTGCGGTCTTTCATTTTGCTTTGTGGATTCATTGCAAGGCATCATTGAAGACTTTCTTCATCAAAACTAATGGACCCCTGATACGTAATTGGGCCTTCACTGCAATACCGATTACAATCTAAACATTATGGTCATTTGAACGACTGTCTAACAAGGATAGGGCTGCATCAGACCATTACTTTGCCACTAGTCAATGACCATACTAATATGTGCTCTAGAGTCTGCCATAAGTTGCACAAGTCATAGGCTAATACCGGCTGCTGAACTGATGACATGACTTGCCCTGAAGATGAAACACCCTTGAACTACAAATCTTTTCACTGGATAACCCTGACATCATATCAGGTAATAGGAATGGAACATTGAGTGTCTACACGGAATGGTGTATGCGCCATTGTTTGGATGATCTATTAATCTGCTTTAAAATCATGTACATGATGCACTACATGTTCTTGTCATTTTGGGCGGATGATGACGGATGATATACATTTGTCCTTCAAGCTTGCCAAAGGCCAACGGGTGTGAAGTCACCTTCATTAACTGACAACCAGGCGACCATTACGTGGAGTCCCGTACCCGGTGCGACCGACTACCGCGTCCTTGTGGAGCCGGCGGAAGGTTCCGTGAAACTACCAGCAGGGGGACCAGGGGAGGCAGAGAGGACCATCGTGGGTCTGACCGCTGGAGCAGAGTACACGGTGTCGGTGATCGGCATGACAGAGAAAGGCTCTGGAGAGGCCAGCGAACCGGTCAAAATCACCACAAGAGGTAGGTTAATGCTCATATCATTTTGGCCTCATTATAGATTGTGCAGAGGTTTGACATGAGTGGGTATGCTTGTTTGGCTGTTGTGTGGCGCGATTTCTCTATCTGTCGTCTTATTTTCTGGGCAAACTCAGATGCCCAATTGCTCGTCGTTACAAGTTGCAATTATTCCTCATCTGGAGTTTTTGTACAGCGGTTGATTGGTAACTGGATCAATTTAACAACTGAACCTTGCGACTCTTTCGGGACATTTAGACCGACATCCTGTCTTAGTCTTACCACCGGCAACATTGACATTACAAACAAATGTATTCAATGCAGTGCCTATTTTTAAAGGCCCCGCTGTTGACCATAATTTGCTTCAGAACGCCAACAAAAAGCTTTGTGCGGTACACGCGATTATTGTTTCCCTTATTTTTAGTTCTTGAAATTCACACCTTTCGCAGCATTACCTGCACCGTTGGGGGTGAAAGCCTCAGCGGTGAAAACGACGTCGGTTACATTGTCGTGGTCTCCCGTGACTGGCGCCCAAGATTACCGGGTCGAAGTGGTGCCAAAGGCCGGCAGAGTCATGCAGCCTATCGGCGGACCCGCAACTTGGGAACGCAAGATTGTAGGCCTCGAACCTCTTCAAGACTACGAGTTCACCGTAGTCGCTGTACAAGATAAAGAAGAAAGTCTTCCTTCAAAAACTCTGAAAGTCACCACCGGTAGGGACGTTGATGTGGCTTACCCCTGGATATTCGTAGAAGAAAACTTCACCTTTTGATGCATTTTCAAGAGCCCCACCCCATCCCTTTGGACTCAAACCGCGCACGATTGCTTTGGTTGTTTCCAATGCACGGTATTGCTGCTTTTTAGCGGAGCTGTTCCCTTTATCGATGCTTGGCCAATTTTCTAGTTAGGGCAAGAAACCCATGTTGTTTGTAGCCTTATACCAGGAGAAGCCACGGCCTCAAAGAACTGTTTACATGGAGACATACACGACATTGTAAGATGCACGCCATCAGGAGGGATTGCAAATGTTGCATGAAGGACTGCACGCGGCCATGTGGAGTTAAGACACATGCCTAGACATCTCGTATAGATTCTATGTAATGTCTCGATTTGTGGTGGCACAGGCGAACAACATCGACACTGTTCACACGTCACTTGAATCTAGAAGGGCAGTACGTTGGATTATGGTAAGGTTAGGAACGTTTGCCTAGTAGAATAAGACGGTTTGACTGATGTATTTAGTGTTGGATTTGGTAGCCTAAGGAATGAATTTCAGAAAATGGTGATACAACATCCTTGAAAAGGTGACGTTTCGTTGCGTTGATGGTGTACTAAAATTTTAGGGTTTGAGAATGGATCGCGTTTGGCTGATAGGCAACGTTGGTCGTAGGTTTTGTATTGAATTAGATTCGTTAAAATTCAGAAGGTTGATGTACGTAGAATCAAAGACGTGTTGTTGGCATTATGCATGAACTTACACGCGTTTCGTAGTCTCTATCTCTTCGACTATGGTGGGTGGCTCGTCGTGAGAAAAGGAAGTAGTGTACATGTGTGGGTTGTGAAGACCAAGTTCACGTTTTCCTGTATGACATTTCAATCCCTCCTATTGTGTGAAGCATCATGCTATACGCTGTCTCCTTATGCGAGAGATAACTCATGAGGATAACGCGGAAGTACGCACAAAGGAAACGAAGCTTAATCGCCGACAAACGAATGAGGAAGCATCAATGTAGATGAACACACGAATTAGGCAGCTCGCGGTCGATGAAATAAAGCTACGGTTAGGGGTGGTAATGTGTTAAATACAGTATGTAAAAGGAGGTGAACCCAATAGTGACGTTCCATGGACAGACTGATCTATTGTGTTTGTGTACGTTGTGTTTGCAACACAGTCCCGGCAGACAAAGTGGAACCAAAGGTTCAGAAAAAGGAGGAGGTCAAAGTCGCAAAAGAGGAGGCAAAGCCTGTTACAGGTATGGACCCGACAAGTGTGGGGAAGGTAGCAACAATTGGGGGCCAACCTCTTCCGTTATCGAAAATATCCACTGTTGTTATGTCAGGCCTGGAATGGCGTTCACAAAATAAAAGCACTCAATTACTTTGAACAATAGATAGGTCGTGTTTTTTCTGCGTCTCATCTCCTCTTGCATGCTATCTTCTTACTAAAGATGCGTGCATTGCACTGTTTGCGTGTGATTCATCATAATTCAAATCAGAAAGACTTCGTAACTCGCTGTTTTGAGAGGATGGCAAGGAATGTGTGGTATATTCTGCGAATAAGTGATCTTCTGATCTTTGTTAGAGAGTGGCTTGACAGTTACCTATCTCAAACGCACCTTTCACTCATGTATGTCTGTCTGTATGTCTGTCTGACAAAATTGACCAATTTGTTGCAATGTTTGTATGCGACGGAGGAGGTTGAAACAAACGTTTTCCATGTGGGTGTAGATGTTACAAAAACTTTGCTGTTTGTTTTGTTGTACAATTTCACGTCTTTTTCTCAAGCTGAAGAGAAAGTTGTACCTCCAACTGCGCCTGCGCAATTGAAACCAACGGAGCCAGCTACTGTGCCAGGTACTGGACCATGTAAACAACAGCCGCCATTTTGATAATGCTACAGACACCTGTAAATCTGTGTATGCGTGGTGTGGGTTGGCAATAACGCGCGGCTGTAGCTAGCTTCTCTTGATAGCACGTTAGCCTCTTGCATAACGACATTCTTTGCCATGCTGGTTAACTGGCAAGCTGTCGGGTGCAATGTTAGACGTGTACATTACTGACAAGCTGTTTCATGTTTCTTGTTTTATTTATGTTACGTGTGTATTTCTCTGTCCCTGTCGTAAATTAGCTTGTACTACTTCGCTACATCTCACAACGTACGCTTACAATATAACACTGACTAAACGTGTGTTTGTCTCGATCTTACTAACAAAAAATCTTCTAACAGCGGAGGCAGCTGCACCGACTGAAAAGGAAAAGAAGAAAGTCCCCCCAACACCTGAAGCGATCACTCCTACAGGTAACCAATGCGTTGAGATGTGTTGTTTCCATCCCCTTGTGCATTGCTTAAGCTGCAATGTTAGGTAAACTTGTACTGACCATTTGTCTTCTAACAGCTGAGCCGACTGCCCCAGTCCCACCTGAAAAAGTACCAGTTGTCCCCACAGGTAACTAGTGAATTAATGACATACTCACTTTGCTTCCTTTGATGCAAATAAATGTATCAGATACGACTTCTAACTAAACAAACGTTATGGGCTTACCTAAGTGGACTTCTCACAACTCCTTTTAATGTTTCTAATAGCAGAAAAGGAAGCTGAAAAGAAAGAAGGCACACCTGCAGTTCCAGTTCAAGTGCCTGCCGAAGGTATTACTTTATAGCGACCGTGATTCAAGATTTGGCTTAGTCTATTTCTAGTGAAGTGACGATGTTACAGTAGCTGTCGGTGGGTGCATTCACATTTGAAATACTAGGGCCAGTCATATCTATGACATACATCAATCTGCGTTCTGTTTACAACCCAAAGGATATCTACATACTGAAATTTCTTTGTGCTTTAATCTAACGTATGTCAGGATCTGAAAAAATCACTGCTACATCCTTACAGTGGAAAAGAAACCCGAGGAAAAGGTACCACCACCAGCTCCCAAAGCAGAAGTTAATGCCACAGGTATGAAGCACAGCAGCACTGATAGACCATGCTGTCTATACTTGAGCATTTACTCCACCTAAAGTGTAGATATGGGGACAAAGGTTTCCTTGTTTTATGTTGTCACTAACCTGAACGACATGATAACGTATATGTACTTACAGTATATTCTCGTCATCAAATAATATTTCAGCATCATACGTAGCGTACATGTATAGCAAGCCTCTTTAGATAGAAAGTGTCGAATGGAAACACAGGAAGAGACCGTCTTCTGATGCACAGATAGTACTGTATTGAAATCGGGAATACTTAGTTCCTTAAGAGCGTTGATCTCAGGCATATACCAGGTGACGAAACCATTACTGTCGTATCCTTGCAGTGGAACAGAAACGTGACGAAAAACTACCTCCGACATTCCCAAAAGCAGAGGTTAAGCCCTCAGGTATGAAGTACAGAAACAGCAGTTGTACTGTCTAATACTTGACGTACCTACTGTTAACGTGATTAACCTGAATGCGACTAACGTCTGATTTACGAAAGTATTGACAGTACAATTTGTCTGTTAATAAGTATATTTAGACCTTTGCAGTCACATATTACCGTTATCAATCTGTTTGTGGTGGTGTTGGGTTGTTCTCCACTTTTTTATGTATCAATCAAATGGTGATAAGGAACAACAATGTTTCCATGTATATAACCTAGCGGGTTCTCTATATTGTTTTACTACGAAAACGGCATTTATAGTTTAGAGTACTGATGTAGAAGGGGGTTTGATAAGTTTATAACTATACACTGGCGGCATTTCACTTAGAAGAGGTTCTGATGGAGCATCCTACTAAACTTCCCACCGAAGCAACAGAGGCAGTTGTTACCAAATCAGAAAAGACGATCGTGCACGAAAAGCCAAAGGCGATGGTCGTACGGCTGAGGCTTCCTGAAACAAAAAAGAGGGCGGTCTCTCCCAAGACACCAGCTGGAAAAACTAAGGCCGAGGCGGAGGAAATTGTGCAATATGGACCTAAAGACGTTGTTAATCAGAAGAAGCCCCTCACGGAGGCCGATACTAACACAACAAGTGCTGCCCAGACACCAGCATCTTCAACAGAAAAGGAGACCACTGCGGAGGTAATAACTGTTTCGAGGGCGCCCGTTAAGACTACAAGTGAGGCCGTCTCTGTCCAGGAGGTTTCTGTAAAAAGACCTTTACAAGACCACCCGGAAAAAGCGGTAATCCCAGAACAAGCGATGAAAACAGTCATTGAGACGAAGCGCACACAGACAGTGGATGGAAAACCACCAGTGGACGAAAAGCTGTCAACAGAGAAGGGTGTTGGAGAAGAAACGAAGGAGGCCGATTCTACGACGTCCATGGAGAAAACAGATACTATTGCTGAAGAAGTCTCACTACCATCAAAGCCCCTCACAAAGAAAGGTGGCCCTGGTGAGGAGGTTGTTGTAGAAAAACCTTCTACATATCACGCGAAAAAGGAGGAAAGCCGAGAACAAGGTACGGAAACGGTCATTGATAGGACACTCGAAGAGACACCCATGGACAACGAGCAGCTAACACATAGGGATGTTGGAGAAGCAGCGCAGACGGTTGATTCTACCACACCCACTGAGAAAGCAGATACCATTGCTGAAGAAGTTATGGTGTCACTACCATCAAAACCCCTCACAAAGAAAGGTGGTATTGGCGAGGATGTTGTAGAAAAACGTTCTACATACCACCAGGAAAAGGAGGTAACCCAAGAAAAAGCAGCGGGAGCGGTCATTGAGACGAAGCACCCACCACTAATGGACGAGGAGCCATCAAAACCGTCAACAGAGAAGGGAGTTGGAGAAGAAATAAAGGCGGTTGATTCTACCACACACATCGAGAAAATAGATACCATTTCTGAACAAGTCATGGTCTCACAGCTGCCATCAAAACCTATCAATAATAAAGATGGCCTTGTCGAGGAGGTTGTTGTAGAACGGACGTCTGAATACCACCCGGAAAAAGCTGTAACCCAAGAACAAACGATGGAAACGGTCATTGAGATGACGCGCATAGAGACAGTGATTGAAAAACCACCAATGGACGGGGAGCCAACAAAACCGTCAACAGAGAAGGAAGTTGGAGAAGAAACGGATAAGTTTGACTTTATCACACCCACCAAGAAAACAGATACTACTGCTGAAGAGGTCACCGTCTCGCTGCCCCTCGCAGAGAAAGATACTCTTGTTTTTGTAGAGGAAGTCAAAGAGGTTGCTGTTCTAAAGACCTCTGAGATAACGCTAGTGAGGGAAAAACAAACAGGAAACAAAAAGAAAACCAGTCCAAAGAAACAAGTCATAACACACATTGATGAGAAACCGAAGGTGAATCCAATTCAATCGGTATCTCTAGAGACGTCGACTAGCGAGGAAACAACAGACGAGAAAGTGAGTGTGGTGGTCGTTCCGGAGGAGCGTCAAGACCGCACCTCTGATAACAAACGACCAAAACCTTCAACCAAAAAGGGAACAGCGGGGGACGCGGTTGTTCACAAGACGCCGTCTGAGGCTGCTCCCGTCAGGGACGGTGCAACTGATCATGAAGAACAATCAGAACGCCAACCGAAAAATGAGCTTACACAAGAAAAGTCAGTGGAGAAAGTCGATAAGAAAAAGCCATCAGAGACAACTGACATAGCTTCTAGCAAACTGCCCAATGACGAGAACCAATCCAAACCACTTGTAGGCAGGGATTTGGGACAGAAAGGTAACGAGACCGATTCTGGGATGTTCTCCAGAACAACAGATACATTTAAAGACGTTAAGGTGCTACTGCCATCAAAAACATCAACAGAGACGGATGTACTAGTCAAGGAAGGCGGAGACATTAATGTTCCCAAGACCACTTTTGAGAAAGTTAAATTTGCAAAAGCTCAACCAGAAGAAACACAGATTGAAGAGGCACCGGTACGGGAGAAGGGACCGCCTGAAACAAAAGAGTCGCTTTCACAATCAACATTCCGCGACACTGAAGTGGTAGAGAGGATTGAATCGACTACCAAACGTCACCCAGGGGAAAAGCAGACTAAACCTCAACCAGAAGAATCACAAGAGAAACTAGGGCTCTATGAAAAGTTTATAAGTTTTGTGTTTAAGAAGGAGTCGACTACCAGACCTCAACGAGCTCCAGAAGGAATGCAGGAAAAAGAACTCCGTGAATCTGTAGTGGTAGAGATGGAACCGGCCGACAAAACTCAACCAGAAGAACCACAGATTGAAGAGGCACCAGTGCAGGAGAAGGGACCGACTATTGAACCACAGACACAGGTCCCTCTTCCAAAATCAGTATCCCCTGACACTGCAGTGGTACAGAGGCTTGAACCACAAGCAGAACATGGACAACAAGAGACATTTGAGATCCAAAGGATAGAAATAGCTGCCAAACCTCTCCCAGAAGAATCACTAACAAAACTTGAACTCAAAGAGTCGGTTGTGGTAAAGAAGACAGAACCTACTACCAAAGCTCAACCAGAAGAACCACAAACAAAACCTGGACTCCATGAGACGGTAGTTGCACAAAAGGTTGAACCGACTACCAAACCTCAACCAGAAGAATCGCAAATAAAACCATCACCCCTTGAAACGACAGTGATACGAAAGATAGAACTGGCTACGAAAGCTCAACCAGAAGAGCCACTCCATGACACAGTGGTGTTACAGCATATGGAACCCAACTACCAAAGTGCAACGAGAAGAGACACAAAAGATAGAACATGGACTCCATGCCACTGTAGTAGTACAGCAGATAGAGCCAACTACGAAAGCTGAACCAGAAGAGCCACAAACAAAGCCTGGGCTCCATGACACGATAGTGGTACAGCATATGGAACCGACTACCAAAGTGGAACGAGAAGAGCCACAAAAGATAGAACCTGGACTCCACGAGACGATAGTAGTACAGCAGATAGAACCGACTTCCAAAGATCAACCAGAAGAACTAGCAACAACACCTGGACTCCATGAAACGGTAGAGGTACAAAAGATAGAACCGACTACCAGACCTCTACCAGAAGAACTAACCAAAAATCTGGACTTCACGAGACGGCAGTGGTAGAACAGATAGAGCCAACTACCAAACCTACCAAAGCTCAACCAGAAGAACTAACAACAAAACCTGGACTCCATGAGGCGACAGTGGTACAGAAGGTAGAAGCGACTACAAAATCTCAACAAGACGAGCCACAGACAAAACCTGGATTCCATGAGACAGTAGTGGTACAGACCACTGCCAAACCTCTCCCAGAAGAATCACTAACAAAACTTGAACTCAAAGAGACGGTTGTGGAACCGACTACCAAAGCTCAACCAGATGAACAACAAACAAAACCCGGACTCCACGAGACGGCAGTGGTACAGAAGATAGAGCCGACTACCAAAGATCAACATACCATAGCTCAACCAGAAGACCTATCAACAACACCCGGACTCCATGAGGTGTCAGTGGAACAGAAGATGGAACCGTCTACTAAAACTCAACAAGACGAGCCAGAAACAAAACCTGGATTTCATGAGACGGTAGTGGTACAAACAACTGCCAAACGTCTCCCAGAAGAATCACTAACAAAACTTGAACTCAAAGAGATGGTAGTGGTAGAGACGATAGAACCAATTAACAAAGCTCAACCAGAAGACCCACAACAAAAGTTGGAACCCATGAGACGGTAGTGGTACAGGAGGTTGAACCGACTACCAAAACTCAACCAGAAGAACCGCAAACAAAACCAGGGACTCCATGAAACGACAGTGGTACAAAAGATAGAACCGACTACGAAAAGCTGAACCACAAGAGCCACAATCAAAGCCTGGACTCCATGACACGATAGTGGTACAGCATATGGAACTGACTACCAAAGCGCAACGAGAGGAGCCACAAACAAAACCTGGATTTCATGAGACGGTAATGGTACAAACAACTGCCAAACCTCTCCCAGAAGAATCACTAACAAAACTTGAACTCAAAGTGACGATAGTGGTAAAGACGATAGAACCGACAACCAAAGATCAACCAGAAAAACCACAAACAAAACCTGAAATCCATGGGACGGTAGTGGTACAGGAGGTAGAACCGACTAGCAAACCTCAGCCGGAAGAACCGCAAATAAAACCATCACCCCTTGAAACGACAGTGGTACAAAAGATAGAGCCGACTACGAAAGCTGAACCAGAAGAGCCACAACAAAGCCTGGACTCCATGACACGATAGTGGTACAGCATATGGAACCGACTACCAAAGTGGAACGAGAGGAGCCACAGAAGATAGAACCTGGACTCCACGAGACGATAGTAGTACAGCAGATGGAACCGACTACCAAAGATCAACCAGAAGAACTAGCAACAAAACCAGGACTCCACGGGACGGCAGTGGTAGAACAGATAGAGCCAACTACCAAACCTACCAAAGCT